AGTCCCGTTCACTGCCGAGCCTCTTCGCACTTGTCTCCTCCTCTGCCTTTCTGGTCCTCTCTCCCTCTCCCCACCAGCTCTCCAACACAACAGGCGGGGGCGCGCAGCAGCACTCCGGGGCGTGCGCACGCCCATTGCGCGCACTGCAGCGCCGCTACCGATGGATGGTGGCCTCAAGGCACTGAACGATTCTAGCAAAAATGTTAACCAAATAGACACATTAAATGTACTTTACCCCCTACCGGCTCTAATCCACAGATGGACAACAGCTGGGTGAGGTTTAGGGATAAAGAGGGGAAAAAATCAAAAAGTTGTCTCTTAATTCTTAGCAATTCCATTTAGTGTTATTTACCAGCAGGGAGCTGTTTTTATTTTAAATGTATTTAGCTGCAGTGTAATCGTTAAATTAAATCACGAAAATGCTACTGCACAAGCAGGAATAATGTTTAGTAGCCTACTAAGCAAATTCCCAGCCTACATGATTAATAATCCTGTACATTTCTATTAATCAGGCCTGCAAAATGAGAGAGATGAAATTAAAACAAAATGTAAAAAAATAAAACGTCAAATCCACAGTAAACCATTTGTCGAATGTGAATGCTTTCACCTTTTGTGACTGAACTTCATTCCAGCTGTTCTGGACCTTATATACTTGGAGCCATTTGCCTGTCCTGATACACTCCAGCGGTTTGCCCTGAGAGCAGGATTGCACTAATAACCACACAGTAGCCTATGGGATCATCCAAGACTACTGGATGAGCTCACGTGACTTAAAAGCGACATTTCCTCTTAGTTCAATCTGCTGTAAATCAGCCAACCAGCCATGCTCTCTTCTCTCAGTGCATGTTACACACATGCATTATCTCAGGCTTAGCCATCTGCAGCTAAAGAATCAAACATTGAGAGCAAGTGACGCAGTTATTTCTGTGATAAGCCTGGTTTGGCAAGTAGACAAGTATTTGGTTTGAGTTGCCATACAGAGGCTGGTTGACAGAGATTAGCAGAAATTAGGTTGTAGCACGGATTTGAGGCAAGATGAAAGTGGGTTTTTAGATAATAATCATTTGGAAATCAGCCAAAATTCATCATGAGAAGCCTGAAGAAATTATCTATTTAAAGAGTAAAATCCCCAACCCTACACCGACAATTATTCATCTCTCTTCACATCATATTTATCAAGAATTCTGTAAGGCTTCGCTTGACATTACATTCTAATATGTGACTGAAATCTGAAAAAGAAAAAGGGCTAACACACGTTCAAGGTCAATTGCCGGGTTTAATTCCCCAGCGCCAATGGAACCAGTTTCCCTCATCATCATGAAGGGGACGAGGGGATTCTTACCCACATCAGTGCCATACTGGGAAGTATTGTAATTTTCCTTGCCTCGCCTCTCATTTCAGACCGCCTCCAGATATGTCTGCATACCTCTTGAATCTCATTAAAATATTCTCTTAATTTCCCTCATGCATATTATCCATAAAATACTCTGAGGGATTTTCACAAGTTCAAGGATACAGCACCATGGGGACAAAGCAAAGTTGCATAGTGAATCTTGTAAGGTCTTCGTGTTGAAATGCACAAACCCACCAGAGAAGACTTCCTCTCCGCCTCACTGGTAACTCCAATTATCGTGGCCATTACTGAAGTGGATAATTGAAGTCCTCTACTTACTGAAATGTAAAAAGAACTCACACATAGCACGGCTGTTTTGTAGGACACAGTCATTGCTCGGCCTGTTTTCTTCAATGATTCATTGTTATTTGGTCTGATTCTTTTTTAGAGCAAACTTAATAACAGATGCAGAACCAGCAAGCCAACCATTAAATGACTCCCAACAGAGGTGATGATTATTTAACACAGATTCAACACAGATCAGCAAGCTCATAGTCAGAACTTAAATCAAAACACAGCAGTCGCAAACAACATCACCTACTTTCACACCTTGACATCTTTAAATGAGCCGGATATTCAGAATAACATGCAATGATTATGAACAATATCAACGTGGTGTATTTGTTATGTTGAAGTCTATTCAGATGGTAAGTCACAATATATTTCTCTTCCATCTGACTGGGTTTGTTTTTCTACTTGTTCTTTGTCCCTTTCTCCATGAGAGGCAATCATATTTTGCAATTAAACTCTTCACATCTTATCACAGTATCTGCCGCTCGCTGAAAAACTAATTGCGTGTTAATAAGTTGGGTGTATTTTCAGCAGCTAAATGTGATGTGTAATTGAGAAGCAGCCAGCTCCAGGATAAGAGGTTACATGACAACAAAGATGGGAGAACACACAACCTGTCAAGACATCTCAGAGATACAGTATGTTCCCAAAATGGACTGGAGATACGTCTTAATACTCAGAGTCTGGAGGTTTGGCCAAAGGTGCAAAATAAATCAAATTATTGAAGTGATTACTGCTGGGGGACAAGTTCATGAGTCAGATCTGTTTACATCAGGGGGAGATGCATTTCCTCTCAGCCTGCTGTGTAATTACATTATGACTTCTCTATATTGAGTGGGAGCAGCCTTTACTGGCTGCTTAACCGTGTTAACACACAGGGGGCAAAAACATGGCACAAATCCACTAAATACAACATGATAAGCTAATTTGGAGCACCTGTGTTTCTGTAGATTATGTGTTGTTGGTTGCTGTACAATCATTATTTATGTTAAACCCAGGAATATATTTTATAGTTTGATTTGTGCAATTCTTTTGATTAGTATGTGGATTATAACTGCTTTTCATATGTTTTCAAAACATATTCAAAAGTAATATATGAATCACTGTCAAATTGGTTAAGGATCATTATTTTTATGTTTTCATATGTTGGCCAATGACTGTGTTTATATGACACCATTCACTCAGAGCAGTTCTTCATTGAGATGTCGATAATTCCGTTTCAGTGTCTGAGTGAGAAAAGCAAATATGGTCATTTACATTGCTATTTAGTGTTAGGTCAAGTTACAGTATGAACTCAAAACTAAAGAGTATGTGAGAAAACATGACATGTTATTTAGTCTCTTAACCCTCAAAAACAAAAATCCATGGTCTTTCAAAAATATAAGATATACTGAAACTTGTTGATAATTTCCCTTTAATAAATGGCCTCACTGAGTGGAAGGTCAACGAAGTGATCAAAAAGTAAGAAATGAGCAAAGCAAAGACTTTTGTATAAAGTAAAGTCCTCGTCAATATTTGCAATAATCTTCTTTTTACTCTTAAATAACTGGAACAGTCTGGCTGTTATGCGGTGTGGTAGAATTAAAGAAACTCTATTGTCAGTGATTTCTACATTAATGCGCCACATTGTGGAACAAATGCTCGAAAGCTGTCTTAGTGGGATTCACCACCATCCCCTAATGGAGGCACAAGTTGAGCCACTAAGAGGTGTGACCAACATCTCCAGTAAATCCCTGGAGCCAGGAATGCTGCATTCAAGAGCATTCAGTATTATTGTGCCACTAACTGGAATAAACACAGGAATAAAACGACTTTACAGGAAAATGAACACCAGTACCCTTGATAAACAGACTGCACCGACTATATTGATGCTGAATGGATCATCCCTATGAAATAAAGTCAAATGAATTGTTCTTCAGGTTCAAGCAATTCCACTGAGATGCCATACTAGTGACAGATTGATTGAGAGAAGAGGTATTTCTCCTAATATCTCTCTGGTGAAAGATGTCATGATGAGCAACAGAAGCACTTGATCACTGTTTGTTGATTATCCCACTTTTAGTAATCAGGAAAAATCAGCACCAAATCAGGGAAATAACAGCCCCCCTCTTTGTCTAAGGGTTTCTGCTTTTATAGGCTCATACTATAGGTTCAAAAGGACCCTTGAGGAATCTCTGTGAGAAGAGGCTCTTCATCCAGCAATAAAAGTGCTTTCTCTGTTATTTGGTCCTTGTCTCTAAACCCAATGAGCCAAACGCTGATATTTTAGGAGTGTAAAACAACTTTCACTGCAGGCGCAACACAGTATGACTTCATTTTCGAATGAGGCTAGTATTGTAATCTACAAAGCGACATATTTGTAATCATATTCCATCTGTTGGTACTTAACATATTTAGGATACTCTATTTGTATTCTATATAAAGACAAAGTCCACCTTGTGCATGTAGCTCTAGCGATTTGCTTGCTAACACCTTTAACACTCCAGGAAAATCAATATATGTGAATGACCTCCATCCTGTATCAATTCCCCCCTCAGGTAATGCTGTTCTGTGGTCATTTGTGATCATGCATTTGCCACACATAAGTCAATTGTATCTTAATTCACTTAATTGTTTGGTTATTTTGATCAGGAAAACAAGAGATGCCGCTATAGTACTTAAAATATCTAGGATACACCAGTTTACACATGTTGCTCTTGTCATTTTCTCTGTAATACCTTCTAAATTCCAGGTAAAACAGTGTTACATGAATGACCTCCATTATTTCCCCCTCAGACCTCGGTGATGCTGTTTGTTGTGTCCTCTGCCTTCTGTGCCCATCGCTGTGTGTTCATGCGTGAAAGCAGTTGGTGGAGAGCTGGGTCAGTGCAGGGTTTTTATGCTGGAGGGAAGCGTGATCCATCACAGCCGGGGTTGTTTCCCAGGTGCCTGAGCACAGCCTTGCACAGTCATCTCATGTCACCCTTTCCTTCTTTTATGACAGGCAGCTCAGGGAAGGACCTTCAAATTACCATCCCCTGAAAAATACACCGCTGTACGAATGCAGTTACACAGAAAAAATACACCCATAGGAACCGGTGTTAGGTTAAGATAAAGGGCGTACCGGCAATTTTACTAATCAGAATTTGCTGCTAATCAAGTGTTGGAAATTGAGCAGTGTAGGTGCATATCAGTCCAGATCTGTGTTGGAATGATGAGGCAGAGTACATGTTACTGACTGAATATCCTTGATCCTCAGGCTGTGAGAGAAACAGCAGATTTACTCAGATCACAATCAGCTAATCTTCATATAATGAGGAGGCGAGATGCAGCGAGGTTCAGTGATGGGTTTTAATTACATACTCTCTCAAACTGTTTTACACAGGATCAACAGTGGAATTATATTCATCTGGGTAACATCCTCAGGTCCTCTGGGAGTGACCGACACATTGCTGCATCGGTTTTACAGTACTTGACCAGGGTCTAGGCATGAATGTCCGCAGTGCATTTTTTATGCTGTACATGTCATGAAAATGATTTTAAGCCATGACAAATCAATAAGCAGCAATCAGGTTTAAAGCAGTCCCTCAGCTGTGACCTGCATGATTTAAACAGACGTTATGGTGCAGCAGAGTCGGGGAAGGGACGACGACACACACAGCACTTCAAGGTAGAAAGGGAGGAAGAGGCTTTGAGAAGAGGCATCAAAGGGAAAGAGGGCACAGTGAAGACAGAGCAGAAAATGTGTATCGCCTGTGGGGGATCCATAAAACCAAACAATCAAGCACACGATGATAAAAGCGTTTGAAACAAATGAACCTAAAATACCCGGGGTTTAAAATAACATATAAAAGTACATCCTGTTGACAGCGAGCTTCCACTTGGATACTTATATATATATATATACACATCTGCTATTTTATTCATTATTAAAGGTATTTTGTAGATTAAACACTGGGCTAAATCTTTGCAACATATAACGTACTTCTTAGCATTTTTCAACCATATAAACTGTCTTTGTGCATACATCTTAAATATAACATGCATTTACATACAGGATACACAATACTGTATTGCTTAAAGTAGGCCCACATGTACCAATGTTACTTTAAACAGTATGGAATTACACATTTGATCAATAGCTGCATTGTTAAAGGTGCACATTTAGATTCTGATAAATGTCTCTAGCAATAAGTGTTCAAATTGGCCTTGATTTTACCATTTACAAAAATAAGAATACTTTTTTTTCTGTCATTACTTGACATCTAAGTTTTACGGTGTTACAGATTGCTAGCTTAGCTTGACAAATACTGCACAATACCACATATATCCCATCTACACGTTTTCTGAAAAAAAACTTTTGGAGGATATGCTGGTGGTCATAACAAATCTTTATAAAAGAAAGCAAGTGGTTAAAAATGGATCACTTGGTTCAACAGTCTGTTACTGGCTACTGTGAACGTGTACAGTATTTTTATAGAGCAATATTTACTTGAAAAAAGTTAGATGGGAAGATTGATACCATTCTCATATCTCTATGAAAAGGTTAGCTAGAGACAACAGCTAGTTAGCTTAGTTTATCAAAAAGTCTAGAAATGATAAATAGTTAAAGAGAACATGCAATCTATTTTCAGTCTTTTTACTAAGCAACCACTAAATATCTTTATATTTACCGTACAGAATTAGATGGTAGCGATCCTCGTTAAATGAGAAAATCGCTACCATTTAATTTGTTGCAGATTATTCTGGCAAGAAAGCAGATAAGCCTTTTTTCCCAAAAGGTTGAGCTCTACCTTTAAATGTACAAGCCGCATTTGCTAGCAAGCTGAGAGTGAATCCCTGTCACCGGAGCCCCCAAATCCACGTCATTAGACATGTCCTTGAATGCAACACGGTGATAAATTGAGTGCTTCCAACAAGAATGGCCACCAGATTCATTGTCATGCAAATTGCATCCCTTAAACACTAAATTCACAATCAAAGTGTGAAGTATGATAGAAGCGGAAAGTAGTGTTGGGCATGTTGGCCACATACTTATATGTTCTGAAAAGATACAGGTGAAGATCTTAACGATTTTGACACACCAATAATGGAACTATATGACTTATTTTAGGCAAAGAGTTTCCATGTGAAGTAAAAGGTGGCCTGTGTTGGATCTACACCTTGGAGGATTTAAAGGACACCCCGTTGTACATGTCAGCCCTGAGCTGGGCCCACTCTGTCATCTTCTGCACGGAGCCTTTCTCCCGGGTGAGGATGCGAGCAACTTTCTTCAGCTTCTCCTCGTTCCTCTCCAGATAACGGAGGCCCTCAGCCTGCAGCAGATTGAGCTTCTCTTGCCGGTTCTCATCCATCGAGATGTCCTCACTCATGTAGGGGTTGAAGCGGAAATAAGTGCCGTTGGGGAGGAAAGCATCAAGCATGACGTGAACCTCTGGAGGGAGGAAGAGAGGTGAGAGTGAGTTCACACGAAAAAACAAACATACAATTTGAAAGCGAGACAAAAAATGATAAACAAACGATTATGTCCCTAATAGTCTCAATATGTACAAACACTCAAATATTTTTTAACGAGTGAGAAAGTAAAAACATGTCTGCTTTACATGTGTTGCAGAGTAATCACTCAAGGCTGAGATGGCGAGCTAATACCAAGTGAAAATGTCTGGCTTGTCAGTCACGGTGGTTTCCAAATGCTACGTCTGAGAGGTTCAAATCAACAAGATGCAAATGCATGCTAACAGGCTGCGAGTAGCAATAACAGGGTAAATATGCCTGAAGGATCCAATAAAGGTGACGGAGGTTGTTTTTCTGTCTGTGTTCCCACAGCAGTGCAGAAGTTCAGACACAGATTCAGTCAGAACTAGCTGCCTTTCAGTCTGAGGAGAATAAGTCTACACAGAGTGTTTTATTTAAAAGGTTATAGAGAAGGTTTTATGGACTTTTATTTCTTGACTTGCTTATTTGATTTGCTCCACGTACTATATTACAATTATTGCATTTTGAAAGAATATGTTCTGAAGAGTAAAAATAAGATAAGCATTTACTAAATTCTGAAATGACGCAACATCATTTGTCTAATCTAGAGATGTAATATGTTTTCTATCAAATTATTATTCACTGTTTTTCAAAATGTACTTCCCAAAGTTGGTCCCTGCTTTTCAGCTCAGTGTGAAACTCAAGACTGATCAGCGTAACAAGTTAGGTGACAACTGTTAAAGAGTCTGATTTCCCCTGTCGCCTAAAGAAATGACCATGTTGGCAGCAATCTCTCAATTTTCCACAGCTGTTTAAAACACTTACATCACAGATTGGACACTTGTATATTCACTTAATGAATTCAAGTTACAGTTTACATAGTGAACAGGTGAGTCACCTTCTAATGCTAGGTTATTCTATCCTGATGAAATAAATTATGAAGAAAATGCCAATGGTTTGTATCGTAAGAATATTCAAACAGACTTCAGAAATATTTTACTTCAGGAAAACTACTCTAGATACTTAATTACTACTCCATAACTGAGTTTAGAGCACAAACAGATATGTGCAGAAAGCCTGCATTTTGATTTACAGAGCATCTATGGGTTCAACAAGCTCACTGCCATGGGCTTTTACCACAGGCTAGCATTTATTTTGCAGGCTCATAACACTCTGAGCATCCCAATATGTAAGCAAATAGTTTACAGGTATTGCATGTTTCCACAAAAAAACAAAAATTGCCAATAAATAACTTTGTGAAACACAGAGATTCGAATTATAAAACATATTTGTTCCATTTTAGTTCAGGAAGTCTAGACTGCAGCTCCACCTTATGGAGTATCTCATTTTTCGACTGATCGAGTTTGTGAATGAGAACGAGCCAGTTCCATCAGGAGTTTTGTTTACACATCCAAAACCCCCATTAGATCAGCCTTATCTGTTTACAACAACAAGCTTTACTGATACAGCGATGACAAAGCAGGAGGTTTGTGAACACTGAGACAGGAGGGAAGCTTTTGAAAAAAAGTAAATATGCGATAAACACTCTTGCTAATCTGCTGTTTCTTAATAACAAAGCCTGTTGGAGAGCTGGGTAGAGCTTATTCCCAAATACAGAAGGAACAAGTGCAGAGAGGCATCTAGGTCACCCTCAGCACCACGGAGCAGCAACAGGGGGGGGGACCGAGCCAAATTTAGTCTCAGCAGAGGTGCCCATGTCCAGAGGTGATAAGGAGACGGAAGGGGGCTGCTACAGGGGGCCAGGATGGGACGTATCCAGAACAAAGTCAAGCTGCAGTGCAGTGTGTGCTACACATCAAAGCCCAGCTCCTTCTCTCAGAACAGACAGAGACAAAGGGCATAATTCATTTAAGTCTTTGTACATTCTGATTATAGTCTGTATTCATTTAATCTTCATGTGCAGACCAAATAAAAATGAAGGTAACTAAATCAGCAATGCAACCAATGCCAAAATTGATGGTATGCATGCTGGCAAGTTTGATATTTTGAACAGTGTGAGCCTTTGTTGACGCAGCTTGTCTGTATTTGGCACGTTGCGTCATCATTTTTGGGGCATATTAAGTAGTGTTTCCACATGTTGGACAAAAATAAGCAGACGTTGTTGACACTGTGCCAGCTGGCATTTGTTGCTTCGAATGCTCCCAAATGAAATGTTGAGAGCCAGACCTCTTTAATAGTTAATCAAATCAACAATATGTAACATTTTTTGCTGTAGTTTTAATAATTGGGATCAAAAGGGGGAATGTGAATATTTATTATTACACTTCCACTACTCCACTAAGTGGGATGAGACACATTTGTTTAAAAATGAACTAAATGAAAGCTAACTTCATATCCACAGAGGAGATTATACAATTGGTGGAATATCCCTAAATTACAGTAGTTTTAGTAGTTTCAAGGTTTACTACGTACTGTAGAGCGACTTTAGAAACATACACGTTATATTGATAAAGAACCAACAAATATACAGTTCATTTGAATGGTGTGTACATTTACAGTCCAATAAGTCAGAAAAACCGACTCTAAATGATCATATAATAATGCACCTTTATCATATTGCATTAACGGTCCCTTACCCTCAGTGTCTGTGGCGCTGCTGATGATATTGTTGAGTTTGGTCTTGAGGCTCGTGGAGGTGGTTCCCTTGCCAGGAGTATCAAAGGCGCGGCCCGTACCGAGTGAGACCACACACTCCAGAGGCGTGTTGGGCCACAAACACTTACTCTCATGGATAGCCAGGGCTGTGGGGTTGTTAATCAGCAGACCTCCATCCTGTGCACAAAACACAAGAAGTGCCATGTTAGAGAATTCTCATAGAAACTGTGAATGTGTTTGTGCCAGGACCACAGTCAGCAATTCATTGGCATTTGAAACCTCAAAAAACCTTCATGGATTTTAACCAGTCAATAGATGAAGTTTTAGAAGAACCCTTGACAATAGAAAAATAACCAATCAATGTGCAGTTCCAGAGCTGCTTGTAACAGTACAAGGAACGAGCTACATTTTTTCCCCCCTCCTTTTTCATCACAGTTTCAGTCAAACTCGCTTTGATATCGAACAACCGCCCAGGAGTGCTTTTGCTTTGGATCCATAGTGTACCCGAGGCAGAGGGGTGGTGTGGTGGTGGGGGGGGTAACTGGAGAGGCTGTGGGGATTGTTGAATAGGCATGAGGCTGAGGGGCCGCAGGGCTGCGGGCTGGCAGCAGGATCAAACACACAGGGGCCAGTCCTCATTAAAGAGGCCAGGCTGGGGGGTGGGAGCCGCAGGGCCCCAATTGTCTTGGGACACACTGGAGGGAAGAGTGCTTGTTTTTACGACTGTATGCATGTGCATGTTTGATCGAGAGACTGCTTAGAGTCAATGCATATAATAATGTGGGTACGTGTCTCTGACAGCATATGTCACATGGATGCACACACATAGGGCCTTGGGGATGAGAGGGGAGGGAACATCCCATCTTTTCAGCACACACATCGCGTCAAAGCCAAGGTTGTGATGGGGAATACTGTGTAAAGGCAAAGGTCTGCTAATCATCCGGGAACCTTGACTGAGGAATTGCATCATCAATCTGAAGACCAGGAACATAGAATTGCAAAGGGAGATGGCTGTTGTATTTAGACTGGGGGCACTGCATCAAATAATAGCTCCCATGATAGAAGATGCTTAGAACAATGTTGTGTTACATCAAGAAATACCAAGGAATTCAGCAAAGCAGGCCAATAAAGACAAATCTAAGTCTAAAGAAGCGTGTTTCTCTGTTAAGATTTACTGATCGATTAGGATTGGAGCAGTGGTCTCTGGGCTAAACGCTACAGTCAGCATGCTAACATGCTCACAATGACAATAAAAAGATGCTGATTTTTAGAAGGTATGTTAACCATCTTCAGCATCTTACAGACACAAAGTGCAGTTTGGCCTGAAGAAAATGCCCTTAGTGTTGCAGGAATTTGGTCATAAACCAATGTACTGCTGGCAGAGCGGTATCTATCTCTTTTTCATGAAAACCCATCCAATGTTTGAAACATTAAAAGACCAAGTATTAAAACAATTACTACATTCATCCCCTCAGAACCATGAATGTCTGAACTAAATATATAACATTTTAGTCTGGACCTACAAGCGTCGCAAAAATGAATAAATGGGAAAAATGACAAAGGGAAATACTTCCAGTCCCTCTGGGAGACACTTTCCGATAGAGGAAGCTTTCAATCATTTCAAAGAAGTAATGGTATGATAATTAACTGCATGAATCATTTAAAACCTTATAGTAAGTTATTTAATGAATGTCCTGTGTGAGCCTCAGAGAGCACCCAGCTCACAGGCTGAGATGGAAGTCACACAAAGAGGGTTTCACTCGGCCACAAAGCAAGGAGAACTGCTGAGGCAGCTGTTTGACCAAAGCACGTCATTATGAACCAGTGGGGAGTCTGGCAGAGCAAGAACTGAATCACAGAAGAGGCAGAAAATGCCTGCATTGGAGTTGCTCCTAACGAAGACTTAAGAGGGACTTGGACTGTGGAAGACACCAGACGAACCCAGCTGGAAACAAAACAACTAAGCAGTTTCTTATCACTCACACCCTGTCAGAGGCTCCATTTTCTGAACTCAGAGGCAATTATGGCAACAGTCTGGGTCCAGTCACGGGTTCTTTGTGCCGATAGCTCGGGGCAAGTTTCACAAGCACAGTGGCCGGCCTTGCACACAGAGCAAAGGCATGTAACGTTAGAAGCCAAGTGCACAATGCTGCTGTGAGCGGGGACTTGAATGCAATAACTTGTTTCCATTACAGTGCACCTGCTAGAGCACTTCAGAGAGTTGTGGAGAAATGTAAGAAAAGTCATATCTTTTGGCAGTGAGGAAGTTTGTGGTGCCACTGGAAGGTAGGTTTTATTTGTCAGTGGAGTTTTACGAAGAATCAATAATTTAGAAGATAATTTGCATCCGACATCTCTTTCCACAGCTGTCATGAAGAAATTGTACTAGTCTCAACGTTTTCTGAGATGCTGAAGCTGCAGTGCTAAAGCTGAGATTTCCACACTTGGCCCAGTGCCACGTTCTCACACAAGGGGTTTATGAGGCCAAGGCATATTTGGACACAGATTTAAGTTAGAAACAATGATCTACTTAGGACAAGCTGCAAATAAGCTTTGCATAGAAAATGACCAAACACAAGCTGCCTGTCAAACACGCAGCATGACGCAAGGCAAAGGTCACTTCCATTTATGTGGATTTATAGCTGTAATAATGCTAATAAAAGAACGTTTCAACAAATTGATGTCCTCGGAGAGCAATCCCTTAATGTGGAGACCATCTGACGGAAGTTATATTTCAGAGTCTGAGCGGAAAGTGTATGTCGAGTTTGAATCCTGTCTTCCTGAAAGGCTTAATGATTTCCTTTGACAGCGTTCCTTAATTCCGGCGGGGGCTGATTGTTGATGCTCCAGAGGATCGCAGTTCCTCTGGCCTCGCCTTTGCCCTTCAGGCTCTAATGGCTGAATCACAAATCAGCTCCGCATTTTCCTGTAGCTAGTATAAAGCATCTATTCAACTCATTAGGACCATGATTAGGACATCTTCGGGAACATGTTTCGTATTTTCCGATTGGCCAATTACATTACATTACATTGCATTTAGCTGATGCTTTTACCCAAAGCAACTTACAATAAGTGAATTCGACCAGGAAGATACAAACTTTGGAGAAGACATAATTATATAAGTACATCAGGTTTCATAGAGCTAAAACATTTCAAGTGCTACTCAACTGGCTTTAGATAAGCCAGTCCTTTATTAGTATATAAGTGCTGTGTTAGTCATTCTATCGCTCGAAGTGGAGTCGAAAGAGATGAGTTTTCAGTCTGCGCCGGAAGATGTGTAAGCTTTCTGCTGTCCTGATTTCAATGGGGAGCTCATTCCACCATTTTGGAGCCAGGATAGCAAACCCACGTGTTTTTGCTGATGGGAATTACTGGAAGCCAGTGAAGGGAGCGGAGGAACGGCGTGGTGTGGGAACATTTAGGAAGGTTGAAGACCAGACGAGCCGCTGCATTCTGGATGAGCTGCAGAGGTCAGATGGCACGTGCAGGTAGACCAGCCAGGAGGGAGTTAATAATAATAATAATAATGCATTTATTTTATAAGGCGCCTTTCAAGGCACTCAAGGTCGCCGTACAACAAGGTTAAAAACAGTTTTTATACAAACATAGTTAAAAGCAAAACGCAGTTTAAAAACATAACTACTAAAAACATACAGCTTGCAGCACAGGTCAGCCATACGCTTGTAGTTTTTTGTAGTTGCAGTATTCTAGGCGTGAGATGACGAACTAAACTGAAATATTGCTTTAAAAAGAAACCGTTCTTGCAGCGTGTTGTCAAATAAAACTACTGAGATGATACGAGTCATGCTAAATAAACAAAATTAAGACATGCACGAGTATGAGGTCCCCTTGCATTGCTGTTGGAAAATTGCACCGCAGTCATTAACTTTTGGGAGCTTATCTTCATTGTGCCAGTTTAAGCTGTCTTGAGAGTGAGTGCTGATTTGAATAGGAAAGAGGTGCTATCGCCAGGATCAGTAAAAGTCATTTCATGCACCAGTGTATGTCAGCCCCCATTAAGTGGGACAGCAACCTTCTTCCTCTTCATTCAGACCGTGTGCCTCTGTGTCTCTCCCGGCCTCTCTCACCCAGGGAAGGCTTCAATGCCGTCTTGTGTGAGGGTCATAATGAGCGGCCCCAACACAGGAGAGAACAGAGTGCCTGCTCAAATCTAAATGAGGTGAACCTTCGACATACATCTGGGGAGGCGTTCACATCACAGTCCCAATGAGCAGCTGTAGTCATTAAGATCTCTTCTTCGGCTTCAGTGACCGAGCTGGACTGAGGGGCACTGAGCTCTGTCGTGATTTATTATGAGGCCCTGCCAACGAGGCTCCATTCTCTGAAGTGATTAATTAGGGAAGCATTACATAAGACCAGGACATCTGATTATGAGACAATAACCACACTGTTTTCCCAGAGATGGTCATTCAATCGATAAACTAGAATTAGGAGGCTATGAAAAACTCTCAATACTTTGCACAAGTCTTTCAAATCAATCCTCGCAGTTTGCACATAAAAGAAAGTGTTCTCTCACTCTATGTAATCAGTCAAATAAATCTGCTCATTGAAGAAAATGAATTGCTTAAATGGCATCCAATCCACACAAAGGATACCATTGTCACCGGGGAAGATGAGAATGACAACACAGTCGGTGTGGTGACTCTTAAGGTCGAGTCAGAGGTCTTCATGCCATATTATGCAATTACCGACCGGTTCTTCTCTGCTTTATAGGTCCCATAGGGTCACATGGAGGTTCAAGTCATCTTCCCAAGCTGTCAATAAAGAAGAGCCCCATGTGTGAGTGCCAACTTTGCCCCGGGCAGGCAAAGAAATTGAGATCTACTGTCCACGTTTAGCTTTTCCCACACATTCGGCGAATACATGCCCACACATGTGCATCCAGTATTGAAACAATGAATCATCCCTGTCGGCTGTAGCCATTCAGATTAAACTGTGACAATTCCTGCATTGATATAAATGGGTGCAGTCGGAACACCGCTCTCCTATTTACTCAGTTTAGATCTCCTTGAGGGCTCTTTAATGTATATTTGACAACTTCATATTAGAAAGAATGATGTTTCTGTCCATCATCTAGTGAACAATGTAAGGCTAATTTCCCTGCTGCACACAGGAGAGGTGGCTGCGCACACACTCTTGCATATCAATGCATTTGAATGCAGGATTCAAAGCTGTGATGTGTACCAAGGAATCTCATTGGGAGCTGCTGCAGTGAGAAGCTTGCTAAGTGTGGTGCACTGTGGGAATACAAAAGGTTTAGGGACAGAGGAAGATGTGGGCAACATAATTAGGGGACTGGCCAAGTGTGGCAATGTTTGTGCATGACTGAAAACACATGAATACAACAGAACAAAAAGAGCAGTCAGAAGAGGAAACAGAGTGACAACGAGAGAATCACTGTTTATACTTAAAGGACAACAATTCTGAGTGTTTCTGGGAGGAGCGAAATGTATGCAGCAAGGCTCAAAGTCTGAGCTTCATCCTCCAACAGCCGAGCTCTTTGGGCTTAACACGGGAGGGGAAGACTGGGATGAGGAAGAGGCTAAAAGCTTAGATGGATACTCTCTTTCGCCTCCCAGAATCCACCAGCTCTCCTCCTCTTTGGTGCTGAGCATGTCATTTATGAGCAATAACTTTGCCTCCAGTGGCCTTTACAAGAGAGAGGGAATTGCGA